CTCACTTAGGAAACAATAATATAAATTTCCTCAACTGACTTGTTCACAATAGGAGAAGAACTGATGTCTTCAGTCCAGAGATAACTACTTGGATTCATCTGGACATTCAGCAACTTTTCTGCAGTGAGGTTTCAAACAAGTTCTCTCCTTTCAGCAGGTCCTACTCCCATGCATAAGGTGAGGAAGTTCTGCAGCCACTCCCAGGCACTGAGAGCCTCAGGGCTTAGAAAGACTGTGAGGATTTGTTGGAAGCATCTATGCAAAAAACCGCTTGCATAAATATAATGGAGAGAGATTTAAATGTTGTTTTCTCTATAAAGGAAACCTGCTGTATTTTCTGGTGATCCTTAATTTCTGTCCAATCCTTTTCTTGTAAGAGCATATTATAGACTCAGGTCACTGGTAGTTTGCCCTGTCTCTGAATTTTTGATTATGGAAAGGAACATTTTCTTTTAATAATTTCTTCTATTCCTGAGATCTTGAAGAGGAGAGGGTGTTTGTTCCCTGTGCTTTTGGCTCTTTCTAGTACTAGTGAATATTTGATTCTCTGAAACATTGTTCTTACATGAGAAGCAGAAAACAGAAGTTATTGATTTTGGGGTTGGGGTCAGGCATAGCTGAAGTCCCGGTAAAAGAAGAGGCCCTGGCTGATGCTGCAGGCTACTATACTAACACCTTCTCATTTGTATAGACCTAGCTATGTATTTTAGTCTGCCATGTAAACTAGGGTAGGAAAGCTGTGTCCATCCATCTGTTTATACAAGCATTCTCGTTAGTATTTTAACACTCGTCCACTCAAATGCTGCCTGATCCCTATCTCTCCCCCCTTGGAGTGGAGCTAAGAGGCCTTGGATGGGAACATGTGCAGTTCTCAAGGTGGTGCAGCAGCTGCACTTTGTACACTGCCTCCCAGAGCTCTGGCTGAGGAGCATTTACTCTGAACCCAGCGCAGACGTACTTTTTTAGGGCACAGCTGTCGCTGTGGTACTATATATTCACCCAGAATACAGAGCTGCTCACAACAGAGAGTAGTAAGAATTCTCTGTGGTGCATTGAATGTAACGTGATACTTCCAGCCTGCCCACTTGCTTTAAGCCAGGGATATTGGAAGTCAGATGCCTGCCTTGTAGGAAATTTGTGAGGGCTGAAAATTCCCAGCTCTGAAGCAGCACATGTTCCTCTGCTTTTCTGAGAGGCTGAAAGATGCTTGCCTTTTCAATATCAAGTCAGTGCATGGGCTCAAGGCACTAAAGAAATACTATTAAAATTAGATCTTTTGGTGGTACCTTGGCTTGGACTTTGTAAATCAATTGACAGAACTGGCTGTGCCTTGAATCTCTGAATGTCTCTCTGTAGCATTAAATAAAGGTATTTGCAGCACCCAGCTACTGAAAGCTCTGTTGTAATCCAGAGCAAGTGAGCTAAGACTACTGCAAAGGTTTTCTGAAATAGTCTAGATCTTTTAAGAAAAAAATATTGTGGTCAAATTAAAAAATGCATATTTGTCCTAGACAGAAATATTTTTCTCTCTGTTTGTTACCTCTGTTCACAGAAGAGAGGCTGAGATGAGATCCAGCTAGAATTTACTGTATTGACAGATCTAGATTTGCATTCTAATTCCAAGGGTTAATTAACATTTGTCCTTCAAAAATATTTTTAAATAGAAAATTCCCTAAAGATTTCTCAAAAACTCGGTGAGCTCTTCTTCCTTTGTGATTATATTTAGTAAATTTTTAGTAGATCAGAGATGAATTTTCAAAGGAAAATACCAACAGATAAAAGATAAACACTTTGCATTCCATTCCTTTCAGCTGGATCTTTAAAAATGGGAACAAGATAGTCTTGAAAGTGCCTTGACACTTCAGATCTGGCTGCCCTATATCTCCATCTGTACACTGGTATTTTGTCCCCAACAATTACTGACTGTTCTCAATGTCTGCTGTAAATGCATGCTGTGGCTTCGCTTGAAACTCTCTCAGAGATGCCTCTCAGCTTTTAGCAAAAATATATAATTTTGTGCTTCAGTTTTTGAATGTTTTATATAGATTCTGCATCCGGTCCTTACTAATGCCTTCTATATGAAGGTCTATAGGACAAATAATCTAGCATGGTTTTAGACAGTGAAAATGCTGGGGGAAGAAGTAATTCTTTCCTGATACTTTATCATTTTTCTGCATTGCTGATACCATAAATTAGAACCATCTTTTGTACCTGTGAGTCTTGCTGTATATGAAGTTAGGATAAGCTGAATTTAAGCCCAATTTGCTACCGTTAATCTTAGTTGAAGAGGTGACTGCAAATCTCTTCCTTTTCAAATGAAAGAACACTGACTGTTAAGCAAAGATTGAGATCTTTTCCTTTTTTTACCCAGTATGGTTCTCCTGAAGCTCTTTGCCTCAGAAAGGGTGTTGCAGTGGCCATAATTATAAATTCATGTAAATCACAAATTCAAAGTTACTCAGGACTTTTTGTTTGAGAGATTCTTCTGATGAATGTATTTCTTCATTTAGTGGTGTTTTCCAGAAGTGTTAGGCAGAAAATATCCCACTATAGTAGGTGAAATGAGGTCAGTAGTTATAACCATCCACTCCCTCTAAATTAACTGGGTTGAGGTACAAAAACCAGTCTTTGTTCTTGATGAGAGAAAGTGTGTATGTGTGTGTGGGAGGGGTGTCCCAGAATTTGGAACCAGCTGCCTGCCTACTGGAAACACCAGCATCACACAGTTAACGTTTTGTGGCAAGAACTTGCATGTTTCATGAGGAAGTAAAAGGTAGTGTCTTAGAAAAGTGATGTGTGGTGATTATTTATTAAAAAACCTCTATCAGGCAGGTTCAAGCTTTGATGGCTGTCTGACTGGCAAACAGCTCTTGTTCACAGAGAAAAAGGATAATTTGAGAAAGACTGAAGAGTCCTACTCCGTGAATTCAAGTCTTACTGACTCAGACAAATGAGTTTGGCATTAGTTCACATTTTGTCCTTTCCTGACCTCTTATTGTAGTTTAGATTCTGTTTCTTGACATATTTGGAGGACTGAGCAGGTACAAGTACATGTGGGCATGAAAATAATCTGTATTCTTTATAGGCTTCTGGATCTGTGTACTTGGCACAATGCAAGTCAATAAAATGCATCGAAGCTAATATTTGCATAATAGGTTAGGAAAACTATGCTTGTAACATGAATCTCTTGTTTCTATTAATCTCTTTATATGAGGGTTTTAGACTACAGAATAAAACTCCATCTTTGAAACTGCCACAAAATATTTCTCCCACCCCTTGATGCCTTAACACAAGAAAAATACATCGGAGGATGGTGCTGCCATTATCAGTCAACTCTGCTTGCATGAGAACATATCATAGAACTCTTATTGCTTCTCTCTCTAATGAAAAGGTATAAAACCTTGTCTCTCCCAGTCAGATCAGTTCTGGGATGTTCCTTACAGTGCCTAATTTGAAAATAATCTTTATTTTAAGTAATGTCTGAGCAACCCGGGTGCTGTGTTTTAGCTGATACTAAAGCTTGTGTTCTAGTAAATTGACAGCTCCTGTTGTCAGGCTACACTGTCAATTAGACTGCCAGCCTCAGTACTGAGCACCTTTAATGGGATGTTAAGAAAGGGCTGGTTACTTTTTTTGCTTATTTTTCTTTGCCAGTGAAGAGCATAAATAAGCAGTCTAGGGAATTGTTTTGGAAGGAGTTTTTCATTCTGAGTATGTACATGTTTATAAGTGTTTTGAGGTCATGTTAGGGAAGGGAAGTTAAGGAATTCCACTTCACACTTAGAAGTGTTTGAATTTTTGTTGGGTTTTGGTTTCCCTTAGAATTCAACTTCACAGTTTCAGCCAGGCTGAATTCACAGGGGGATTTTGGCTCATAATCAAACACATCTTTCTTTTATGTCCTCTGCACTGAAGGAACAGAATTTTTGAATGCAGCCTTTGTTGTAGTATTTCAGATTATCCTTGGGCTTTCTTAGAAGTGAGGAATGTAAGGCAGTGAGTCTCTAAAAATAAGAGCAAAGACCTATAGCTCATGTTCATATGCTCCAAGTACTGAGTGCTGAAAGCAGAGGACAACTCTGACACGTTCACTAAAACTTGTCTGGCTGACGGTGTGTGAAGGCTCTTCTGTTTTGGTTGGAGTTCCCTAGCGTAGTCGAGGTTCCTAAGTAGCTGTGTTGGTGTCACCCATATGGAAGCTGAGAGAGCTGTGTAAAGCTGAGGTCAGGGGCTGAGGTTCATTTGGAGAAGATGCAGTTCACGAGGTTCCTGGAGCTGACAAAATGTGCTACGATAGTGAATGACCAGAATTCTGAACTGTTGTGTCAGCAGCTGCATCTGTAGTTGAAGCTTTGTGGCTTTTTATTTCTGGCAGTGCCAGACTGTCCTTGGAGTGTCAGGTCCAACAGGTTGATGAGATCATCTTGGATAAGTAGTGATCTGTCTTGGTAATGGAGCTGTAGTTGTATGTAGGTAAGGTTATCCTATAAAGCTTGCTATAAAAGAAGCAAAGCGTGCCCAAGGCCCCTCACACATATTCATTTTCTGTCTGCTCAATAAAATTAATTAATTTGGGAAAAATTGCTTTTAGGAGGAAAAATAAACTTAAATCATGCAGTAGATAGTGGTTCATTAGTTTTCTGCTTCTGAGTAACGTCTCTATATACTACTATAATATAAATAGTGATAATTATCCCCTTGAGGAAGAGATAATAGGTAGTAAGGGAACCACTACATTGGGTTTAACCTCTCAAAATGGACATAATGACCAGTAAATGTTGTCCTGGACCTTTGCAGAAAAGTGAGTTAACTTTGATTTGTTTAATTTCCACAAATGTTGTCGTTTCACCCATACAATAGTAGATACAGCTAGTGTTGTATCTATTAGTGTATTTATTGCTGCTTGTATGCTGTATTATAATTCAGAGTGAGTTCTCCAACTGTTCTGTGTACAGAATAACTTATCCTGATGAGACCTTTTTTTTTCTTTTCCTGCACAGATCACCCCTGGCAGCAAGGCAGCACAGTCACAGATGAACCAGGGGGACCTTGTGGTGGCCATTGATGGAGTCAACACTGACAGCATGACCCACCTCGAGGCCCAGAACAAGATCAAATCAGCCAGCCACAACCTGAGCCTCACTCTTCAAAAGTATGTTGATATAAGTTAAAGTCTTTGCATTCCTAAGGGCATCCTATGAAACTCGTGACTAAGAGTTACAAGTGTTTTATCTCTGCCTGTTAGATTTATTTGAAGTGCTCATGACACAGATATGAGATGGAAAGCCAAAATCTGCTCTGATTCCTGTAGAAATTGGGTGGATGTTATGTTGGAATTTAGCCTGTTGAATACAGGTGTTATGCCACATCCACTCAAGCTTCTATTAAATAAAATCAACAGTGAAGTGTCTTTGGTTTATTCCCATATGGACAACACAGTTTTGTTTGGTTCATTTATGAACCACCATTCTAGAAACAACCAGTGAAGTAAGTGTTATGGGTGTATGGGGTAACCTGTCATTCACAGCAAGAATAGTCCCAGCAGGCTGAGAATTTGTGCTGATGGTCTGGCCACTGTGAGGTGGAAAGGGCCCAATTTGCATCTGGCAGAATAAGAAAGGTGTAGCCCAAGTGCAGGAAAGGAGTCAGTAGAACATGGCAAGGGCAGGTTTTCTCATAGAGATGTGATAAAAGTTATCTTGCCATTAAGAAAGCAGATAATGGGTCTTTTAACTTTTCCTGGTTAATGTTACTTCCAAGGAAACTTATTCTCAAGTCAGATAACCTTGCACAGAGAATTTCTGTAATAAATGCATTAATATTTAAAGCTCCATAATTATAGAAGGCAAAGTAGCTGCTAATTTTATTGCATTATGGAGAAGATCATTTTTACATAGGGCAGGCAAAGACTGGTACAGAAAGCATCTCGTAATGTGGAAGTATAAGTTAGAATATGCCAAAAAATCTCATCCATGAATGTGCAGGAGGGCTAACCAGTATCAGAAACAGACTAATACCTAAGGGAATCAGATTAGCTAAGGTTTCCAAGACAGAGCAGTGTATTCTAAAGCAAAATGTATGGCTGAATTTCCCTCATGGCTTTAACTTTCAAGTTTGTCTTTAAGGCATTGTCCCAGGTCGTGTCTAAAATCAGTACAAAATGTAGGACGATGCTAACAAAACTGCAGCATGTATGTTAGCTTTTGTGAAAACACTGAGGAGACTTATATATCTCCTGGAAATGTAGAACTATATTTGCCGGAAAAAAAAAAAAGTTTAAATTAAAGCACTTGAGATTTTCAGTTGTTCCAGGTTTCAGATTTTCCTCAGGGTGGTCTGCCTGTTTCAGTGAATGCAGGAGAGGTAGGAGGATGCAGGGAATAATTTCTGGTACCTCATATGATGTGCATGTGTGCCTCATGTGTGCTTAGGGAAGATTAATGAGAAACCAAGAAAGCCAAAAGAAACCAGGAGCCTAATCCTAAATGTACTGAAATGGGCATTATATCAGAAGCCAGAAGAAAAGTCTTTCAGAGCTGTTGAGGGAAGATGGGGCACTATCTTGATGTGTGGAGTTGAATTCTCATTTCTGTGGCCAACTCCAGCTTCTTTTTTTCTACACTCTGATGCATGCTAGTGTTATTATGAATATATATGTAAGATAACTTTTTTACAAAGATTTACCTTGTTCTGGATTATTTTTTATTCAAAAATAAGGGAAAATCCTTTCTGATTATTTTAGAACTTCTGTCTGCTTTTCTGTTGTATCTTTGTGTTTTTACATTGAGAGAAAATGTTTCTTATTGTCTTTTGTGTTGCTGCATACTTGGAATTAATTTTTCTTGATAGTGGATCTGAAAAGTCATCCAGTGTCTGCCTCTATTGGCCCTTAAAACTGCAAACCAAAAGCTCTCCTTCCACACAGAAGTGTTTCCAAAAGCGTGACTAAAAAAAACCAAACCAAACCAAAACAAAACAAAACCTAGTGGAAGTACCATTATTACTTGCTTTCATGCTCTATTTGTTGTTTCTTCTATTTTTTTAAGCCTTGCCCTGTCTCTTGATTCCAAAACAATAGTATAGAATTCAGATAATCAAGTTATGTGGATAATGACCAGCCAAAGAAAGCAGTAATGGAGTGGCTCCACAGACTGGAATATGCTTGCCTAGATAATAGATGTAGATGAGCTAAAAATCCATTTTGAAAAGAAGAAAAATGTTGTTAAGTAAAATTAAATGCTAGTAAGCACAAATAGGTCAGAAACGTGCTTTTTTAACAAGGGAGAACTTTCACAGGTCGTGCTTTTGCTCTGAACTTATGCAATTCAGAGAATCTTCTCTTCAGTTGCTTTATGGTGGGAGCTCTTAGTTCACCTTGGTGACCCATTCAGCCTCACTAGAGAGTTATATGGGAAAAAACAGTGACAAGAACTGAAAAGTAATGTATTTTTTTAACAGTGTTTGTTTCTTAGATGATTAAGGGCCATTCAGAGTTGTGCTCAGAGGCATTAGCTGGCTTTTGCTTTGCACAGTTCAGTATTTATACAAGCTAAAGCTTATCAGCATGTGATCTCAGCAAACTGATGTACACATGGAACCCTGTTGAAGATCCACTATCCCAAAGGCTTGAACAAAAGGCATCTCCACAATATTTAGGAACTTAAAATAATCTTGAAGAATAATTTTTTTCCTGGACACAAATGGGTTAATTTACTTAGAGACAAAAAGATTGTCAGTTTAGTCACCATCCCAAAATTCACAATGCAATATACCTTTTTCAACCAAAAAAAAAAAAATTTACAGATATAGTATTGGTGAGAAGAATAACAGTTAACGTGAAAAATGTGGCAGTAGTGACAAGGAATAGTAACTTTCAACCAAATAAGAACAAAACAGAAGAAAGGCAGAATCTCCTGGGACTTGGTTACCAGGAAAATGACTGTGCTGAGAGATCACTTTGACATTTTTAGACATGGCTTGCAGGATGAAACTGGAGTGGAGTGTTCTACTACTGTGGAAAAACAACACGAGTTGCCATAAAGAGCACAGAGATGGAAACGCTCACTTATTTGTATAAATATTTGCAAATGTTGGAAATCCGTTGAAATGGAAAAGGCATGTATGTGCATTAGGAAATTGAGTGTTGTGATAGGAAAGCTTAAGCCCTAAATTGTGATGGTGTTGGACGTTTACATGAAGGAGTCACGTGGCTCTACAGAATACGCTTCAAGGTCATGGAAAGCCTTCCCGAGGCAATCTGTGGCTTTGTTTTGCTGTTACAGCACTGGAAGTAGAAATGAACTTGTTTGCTTAATCCAGGGAAGAAAGAGTGGAACATGAAATCTAGACATAAGTGCTCTGAGATAGAGCATTTTTATTTTTCTAACGGTTCTTGGCTCTCAAGAGCAATGGCCTTTCCTTTTATTGATCCTGGCCATGAAGGTTTCATGAGCATTGTTTGTAACCTGACAGCTCAGGCAGTGCTTGCTGCTACTCACTTTTATTATCACAATTTAGTTCCTAGTGGGGTTTTTTCAGGGTGGGGAACTGTTTATTTTTTCATTTGGTTGTCAAGAAAGTCTGCACTTTGGTGTCAGCACTTGTGCAGGACATCAGATTGCAAGACATCAAATGCAGAAGAAAGGAAGCGTTAAGAGTGCCCATTCATACTTGCCTGCCTAAACAACAAGAGCCTCTGGTTCCCTGGCTGTACCAACTTAGTTTTGGTTCAAGTACCATCAGTCTGCACTGTTCAAGGTACACTAACATAGCTCTTCAATGAGTGCCAAGTGCTCAGTGCTGGCCTGCATGGAGTTCTCCATGTCTCACTCATGTAGATATCCCATTATGTGTTCAGGAATTTGTGGATGTTGCGTTTTTTCTGGCAGCTTCCTTCCCTAAACTCCCTGTTAATTTTTTTCTTATCACCTCACCCATGCTATGTTTTCACATGAAACCACAAAATTAGACTGAAAGTGTCAGTATTTGGACCATGCCTGAAGAAAGAGACCTGTGATCCAGTGATGTGGGAATATATGGCACCCTCCAGACTAGCTCTGCTTCCTTCAATTTAGAGAATAAAACACATCTGGGGAGTGAATTATTTTTGCTGAAGAAAAGAGAGCAGGAATGAGGGGAGAAGGAAAGAAATGTCTTTGGCGCAGTGCACCCAGCAGAACTCCATGAGGCGCAATAGTATCCAGGCAAACCAGACTGGTATTCTAAAACGTTAGATTGTATAGGCTCAGCTTGTTCCTTAGAAATGGGCATTGCTCCAGGTGTACTGAGAGGGGTGCTAACTCTTCTAGACCATGCTATGGAAGACTGTGATCATGCTCTAGAATGGCCTGGATCATGGTGGAAAAAGACACTACCTTGCTTTTAGTTGTTTTGTGACCTCCTGGAATTTAGTTCTCAGTCATTTTTCAGTATCAGTTTCTAATCAGTTACTTGAGCTACACAGCTGCCCTCAGGCGTTTTAATTCTGGGCCAGTCAAAGTTCATCTTTAACTGTCTGGCTGCCCCACAGATATTTAGGCCACAAGCTTTTTGTCCTGCAGTATTCAGTTCACAGGTGAAAAGCAAAACATGCAAAATTCATTTTTATTTCATGAAAATGGGTTTCTTTTTTAAATGCACAGTAAATGCAATGCACCAGAGAGCAGTATTATTTGTCAACACATTTCACTGGAGCATCCACAACATTCACTTGATCTGAAGTAATCTGATCAGCCTCCTTGGAAAGGACTCACCAAATGTACTGGCTTGGTTTTGGAAAGTGCTGTAACATGAGCGCGCCTCATTCTGCTGGCACAAACATTCCTGTGTCACTCTAAGACTCTGCTTTGGCGTCACTCTGTGCTGGAGAGGAGCAGGAGAGGTGGAAACCTTCCCTGCTTGGTGCACATTGACAAAACCTCCCTCTCCCAGGGCATGTAAGCGATGTTACCATTTGCTTCCAGATAGTCACAACCGAGTGTCTTTTGCTGGAAAATCATGAGCTAAATAATTCTTTTCTCTGCTGAAAGGGGAAGTGTCAGAGACAAAGCCATGAGAGACCTACGGTAAATATTTAATAGCTTTCATTTTTTGTGAAGCACCAAAAGATGGCTGATCCTGCAGTATTCATTTCAGGCCTACTATAAATAAAGC